TTGAAGTACGAGTTAATGGTTTTTAATCGTCACCCAAATAAGTTGCTAGAAAACCAGGTACAAACCCTAGGTTTGGTCTTTCGTCTTCTAAACTAGGTTTGAGATTCTCTAAGACAAAGCATTTGGTTGGGTAAATTCCTATTCGGTAAGCTTTTGTAACTAAGTGTTCTCAATGATGCAAGTGTGTGAAAAAGATGCAGGAGAAACTGATGTAGTACAAGAAAGTGGATTGATGGCGTAATCTACTTTTATCATCAGTGGTATCCCTGGCAGAATTTTGAGAAGTGACGGCAAAGATATGCGTCCTCAAAACGTACCATTCTACTTCCTTCCTTACAACACGTGCTACTAGGTCTCTATACATTCCCAAAACTTGTTTCGCTCTAATAGCGAAAATTTGAGTAGTGATGTACTTCCGATGCTTATCTTCAAGCTTCAAATCACTTTCATTGGCGTCAAGCAATGCAAGAAGAAGTTAATGCCCTTAACAATACTGGCACACGATCTCTTGTCCTTAAGTCTTCATCTCAGAACCTTGAAGGTTACAAGTGGGTCATTCGAATCAAGAGAAAGCCATATGGAACTATAGATAGGTACAAAGCCCGACTAGTTGCAAAAGAATTCAATCAACATGAAGGTTTAGACTACACTAAAATCTTCAGCCTATAGCCAAACCAGTCACCATTAGGCTTTTACTAACTCTTGTAGCTCAATATGATTGGTTTTTAAACCAACTCGATGTAAGCAATGCCTTTTTACATGGTACTTTTACTGAATCTGTTTTCATGCAACAGTCCTTTGGCTTTGAAGATTCAACCAAGCCATCTCATGTTTGTCACTTGCATAAATCCTTGTACGCTTTAAAACAAGCTCCCAGAGCTTGGTATGAGAAGCTTCATAAGGTTCTTCACTCTCTTGGCTTTGTAGGTTCTCAAAGTGACCATTCTCTATTTGTAAAAAATATTCCAAATTTGGTTTTCATCCTAATCTATGTGGATGACATTTTAGTTACTAATTATTCTTCTGCAGCCTGTTAATAAATGATTAAACAACTCAGCTTACTATTTCCAATCAAAGATATTGGAGCTCTGCATTATTTTCTTGGCATAGAAGTTAAAAGATCATCTTGAGGCATATTCATATCTCAGACAAAATATATCGTGGACCTATTATCTAAAGCCAAAAGGGCTAGAGCCAAACCTTGCAGTACACCACTCAGCACCTCTAAAATTGATCATGAGTTTTTATTACTTGAGAATGCTTTTGAGTATCGTTCATTAGTTAGCGCTTTACAATATTTTACTTGGATAAGATCGGATCTCAGTTTTGTAGTCAACCTTGTATGTCAATTCATGCAAAATCCTAGAATTTCACATCACCAAGCAGTTAAGCCAATCCTAAGGTACCTGAAGGGTTTTATTGATGTTAGCTTATGGTTCTCAAAGTGTTCAACTGATCCCTCATTCACAGCTTTCTCAGATGCTGACTGGGCTGGTTGTGCTCTAGATAGACGATCAACTGGAGGCTATTGTATCTTTATGGGAAACTCTTTGATTAGTTGGAGTGCTAAAAAGCAGCCAACTGTAGCACGATCTTCCATAGAGGCAAAGTACAGATCTCTTGCCAACACTGCGTCTGAGATTACCCGGATATGTAAACTGTTGGTTGACATTGGTTATTGCTTGCCTTGTTCTCCCCACTTATGATGTGATAATATTTCAGCCATATCTCTTGCCAAGAACCCTAGTTTCCATGCTCGAACAAAGCATGTTGAAATAGACTACCATTACATTCGAGAAAAAGTATTGGCAAAACAGATCTTTGTGCATTTTGTTTGTACTCAAGATCAGGTGGCTAACATTTATACCAAATCTCTTTCCAAGTCAAGATTCATATTCCTCTGTGACAAACTTCATCTTGAGTACCTCAGTTTCGTTTGAGGGGGGATAAAAAGGGCAATATTGTAACTACAAAATCTAGAGATATTACTTAGTGGTTAAGGAATCTGCTAGTTTGTTATATTTGTTTTTCCTTAGTAGTTACAAGATACTTGTATATAAATACTCAGAGTGTAACATTATAATGAAATCATATTTTATCTAATATTTAACATCTTTTTTGGAGATGGTCTAAGGCAGTAAAGTTGTCTTTTATCCTATATATGTAAACTTCATTTTTCCTCTCCAAAACATATGAGGGAGTATTTAAATGTATTTATGATCCACATCGATTCTTTTCTTGTAATTTTCATGAAATTTTGAGGGCAATTAGCTGGAATAAACATATTTTGACAACATTCATAGATCATCTTTATAAAAAAATTAGGCAAATTCAAAACTATTAAGGCATCTAATTGTAGTGAAGAGAATAGACGAATATGATTTTTCAAAGAAATACTAATATAACTACCATTTAATCTAGTGGTCAAATGGTTTCGGATTTGGGTGATTTTTCGTAGAAATGATCAATGAGGAAACACCTAAAAGATGAACGGTTTGGATCATTGAAATACGATGTAGAGTGAGCCCTACAAAAGAGTGTAGTCGGCAGTAGCGTTGGTGTAACACTCTCAAATTCGTACATAAATAAGTGCTACCTATCCTACTTAGTAACTTAATGCGGAAGATTAATCGGCAAACCTCAAATTCACATTAGTAGGAATATTCCAAACCTTGTCTCAAATAGCCATTTAATCTAAAACGATGGTCGAATGCTAAGCTCTCGAAAGAAGGTCAAAACTACAAATCATAAATTAAATTCCTAAAAGTCCATAAAAAAATCACTCATCTTATCAAAAGAATATTTCTACTATTAGTTTTTTATTAATTAATATCACCCATATTGTTTGTGGAAGGTTTCTTGGATTTGTAGTGGAGGGCTACAAAGCAAAAACTCAGGGAACTTTGCTCCAATGCTATGTAAAATTGGTAATGTATGAGAATTTTGTGTGTATGATACAATAAAAGACTGTACAAAGAAAGTTACATAACTTGCTCTAGATGAATGATACAATGAGAAAATTAAAATGAACTCCTAAATATTATATACAAATCTTAACAAGTACCGATCACAAGTTCAATGCCAAGAAGTAAAATGAAAAGTATAAGACAAGAATGGATAAAGAACTACAAACGAAGAATTTACACCATACGGGCTTCAAAGAAAGCATTTGACTCTTTTTGTAGTTCAAAATTGGGTTCCTAGATTTGAGGACAATAATCTTGAAAGTTCATGACATGGTCATTCTGACTACTTAATTTTGTGTATATATTCAATCATATCTTAGCCTATTCTTCAGCTTGATATATCGCGAATTCCAAAATGATGATGCCTTGGGCGTGACTTTGGAACACATATTCACTTCCTTGGCGTTTACTCACACAAACGGGAAGTGAGATGAAGGTATCTTCACTGCAGGGTAGTGCGATACCACCCATTGGATGATCGTATCCAAATTCTTCTTCAGCTCGACTTAGCAGATCTTGGAATAAGGACTGGTTCAAATATGAAACCAGAATCACAAACCGCTTCTTCTGGCTTTCCCCTTTCCCAACATAGACTGCAAAATAACCTTTAGGAACATCTGACGGGCTTGATGGTGGTTGGTTTTTCTTAGCATGTGCAATACCAGGCAACCGGAAATGTGGAAGATATATGACTACTGACACATCATTTGACACATCACCACAGTTAGTTAGGAATGCCACATCAGCTATTGTAGTCTGTTAGTTTGTTAAAAGTTAGTTACATTGATAGCATAGCTGATAAGCTACGCTCGGTTGTTATATAAGCTTGTATCGAATCATAGTGTGATTATCCTTTCTATCTCTAAGAAATAACAAAGTCTGCATTCTCTTGATTTTCTCTCTACATTTCTTCTCATACAGTTCTTATACTTTTTTCTGCAAAACATTCATCTGTGTATACCTTGATGAATGTTATCAGGAAACCCATGGTATTAAAATTTCTCTTTAAGATTTCAAATGATCTGATAAATTTATGCTCTAAGAAAGAGCAGCAAGCAAACCCGGGCTTATAATTGCATATAAAGTTTCTCAGCCTCAATAATCAGAACATTTACATATGATATTTGGCGAGAGAATGTATGAAGCATTGGGGCTCTTTTCCTTCTAGACATAAGCCTTTAGAAATTGCAAAGAATGACGAGGAAAAATATTAATGGCTACGAAAAAAATTTGTCCACAAATAATTAGCATTGGCTCCACTTTGTCACAAGCCTGTCTGTGATCTAATTAGCTAGGGAATTATCTTAAAGGTGGGATATAGACAGTTATAGTTACATCTATACAGCTGCCGAGAGTGGCAATTGAATGCGGATTGTCAAGTGACCCAGCTGCTCAAGCATTTAAATGTTCACGTGGCTATGACTTCCAATTTCTCAAGGACATCGGTTACGGAAAAAATATGATTGGTGAAGGACCGTGGTGGAGCCAGTTGATAGTCATTTTCTCGTGGAAAATCGCATGGACATGTCTTTCCATCTAATCAAGAAAAATGTACGAGTAGAAATGAAGAATCATAATACCCTACAGCTACATCTTTTAATAACTGCACAAACTGAAAACGTATTGAAACTAAATAAAACATAATGTCCTACTCATGTTCGGAAGATACGCTGACAAGATCACTGGTAATCCTAACAATCAACATGATGTTATAAGAAAGTTTGAGTGAGTGGTCTGCAGGAAATTGAATGGGATTGAAAAAAAATCTAAAGACAGAAGCATTTGCAAGTTCACATGGCTCTGTCTTCAAATTCATCATCTTGTCAAAATACATTAATTGGTGGTGATTGAGAATATATTTCTGTTGAAGTAGTGCATTCTGTCCAGCAGTATTTCATCTAAAATATTGACGTTGAGGTGGAAAACAGCACCATGTGATCAGTGTCCCTTCTATGCCCTATATCAATATGGTCTTAATTGTGACCACATATTTCTTTCAACAGAGGACATCCTACATAAAACTTTAACTATATATATTTCATGAGATTTGCATTGCTATCCATTCAAGCCTCTGCATATTCTCAACCCTTCTCTTCTTCTTGCTCCAATAACTTCCACCGGAAATTTCTCCAGAGACATAAAATCATGGGATTCCGTCGTCCAAGTGTAACTCATGCAAAGAAAATTCTTCGGCGGTCTTTTTCAAATTCAAGTCAAGGTGGTTCATATAATTTAGCAGATGTCCCAAAAGGTTATTTAGCGGTTTATGTTGGGGAGAACCAGAGACAGCGGTTTGTCATTCCTATATCATACCTCAACCAACCTTCATTCCAAGACTTGCTAAGTGAGGCTGAACAAGAATTTGGATTTGATCATCCAATGGGTGGTCTAACAATTCCCTGCAGACAAGATACCTTCATTGATATTATTTCTCAGCTTTGAATTCATTGTGATTACGAGTTGCGTCACATTTTTGTAAACCAAAGTTTTTCTTCATACTGTACAAATACTTTTCCCTTTTGTGAGTGCGAAATGTACTCTCTGAAGGATGATGTGAATGAAGATTATAAATGTGGATAAGGATGTTTGGCTCTGATGTACATAAAAGTTGCAGTAATAATTCATTAAATGATCACAGCATTTTTGTAAGGAAAATACTATTTTGCTGTGAAAATAACAGCTCAGTTTTACAATTTTTGGAATTGTGCTGTACCATGTTTTTGTTCCAAATCTCAAATCGGGATTTACAACTTATAATTACATGGTTTCATTCCTAATTACATCGAAGCGTTTAGGAGCTCACTGCTTTAGCTAGACAACTTAGCTAAGCCTTACTATATGGAGGTTACTACTTAATAGAGATTAATGGATACAAAGTACTGAATCAATAGCGGGGCATACAAAGTCATAGGCTAACAAATCTCTCCTTAATTATACGTTTGATTTATCATGGTTGAGGTGTCATGCCCCGATTTTGAGATACACCCAAAATTAATGGGTGATAGAAAGATGTAGGATACATAAGAATTCACTAGAACCCAAACATAAGATATATAAGATAACCAGCAGAATAAAAAATAATAATACATTATAGTTCTCATTTAGGAATTCCAACGCCTTTGAAGAAATTTGGAATTTCTTAGCATGAACAGTGCCCGGCAACCGGAAATCCATAATTAAAAATTTCTTAATGAGAAAATTAAGCAACAATGGAAATTTCACATGAACTTGTCTCCAAGTAATAACCACCAATGCCATCAGATCAGATTAAAATTTGCAGAAATGAATCCTTTTGGAAGAACAGATACATGACTACAAAATCAGCGACATGTGAAAACAGGCATTTCACTACTATAATTATGCAAGGCCACCATTTTTTTGCACACCATTTGCAATTGGTGGCCATAGATATAAAGTTGTCACTCTTACTATTTTTTGGTGTCTTTACAGTGGGATGCCGCTGATATTGGTGGCCTTCAAAATTGAGCCACCAATGATTGGTGTCTGTTAAATAACTTTATTTCTTAAAATTACTTTTCTTCTACATTTTTATTTTATTATTTATTTTGTAGGCACCGAAGTGGTGCTGGTTAATTTTTTTGTTTTGAAAGCTGCGATATATATTGCAAGGGGAGAAGACTCATCTTGAGAAGAGAACCTATGGATGCAAGTGAAAAACAAAAGGGAGACAGAGGCCAAAACCCATAGAAGGACAGAGCCTTGGACCCTAATCGCATATCTCGGCCAGTATTGCATCTTGTCTGAAGTCGGGCGGTTCCGCGAACCAGTCGCACTGGCAGGATGCGGACAGGGCGTAGCGGCCAAGACGATGAGCAGCCTCGTTTAGTTGGCGATGGGCGTGGGCAGCAGAAGCTCCATTCCCATGATGCTGGTTATCTGCTTCTCAAACCTTGTCTTTCAATTTCTCAACAGATTAAGCTCCTCGGTTCATTATTTATTTTCAGTTGGGTTTCGTACAATCAATTTGGGGCTGCAAGACATTGAATTGATTTTGGGGAGTAAAAACAAGTAATTTTGTGTTTCTTATATTTAATGTTCAAAATTTTTTACATCAAACTTTTCAATTTGTTTATCATGCTTTTTAATCTTTCGATTCTCCAATTATTCACGTTCTAAAGAATTTCTTTATCGGCTTCCTAGTTTTTTGCCCTTTCTATTCCCCAGTTTTTAAGTTTTGTTATATTAATGACTGCCCGATATATAGTATTGAGTATATGAACTTTTTTCTTCCTTCTTCTGGTGAATTATATGAACTTGTTACTATCCCCCTGCACCCTAAAATCTATTGCAAGACTCATACATACAATGTCACTCATAAAATCGATTGAATTTTTGTTTTCCTATTACAAATGATTTGTTGGGACAATATAGGAGGTGATTAAACTTAAATGTTATAGACTGTAGTTGAATGGCACCAAATTTTGAAAGTTGACTTGTGGTTATATAGAGTGACATTGACATTATTTTCACGTACAGAAGTTACGTGGAGAATGCTCAAAGAACTCGAGGGAGGCGTGTAACCATGCTACAAGCAGAGAAAGAAGCTATTAATTCCTTCCCATATTCGTTTGAAAAACATGTTAGTACGGAATAAGTTGATTCTGCGTATAATGGTTTCCTATTTATCTTCCTATTCTTAACTATGCATATGAACTTGTGTGTAAATTGTGTAGGTTAATCAATTGCAACAATCAGGTGATCCAAGGGCAACTGACAACTTGGTGGCGTTTGCAATCAAAACGAGACCACGTGATTTCTTTGATATATCCTCAACACATGATCATGAACTGTGTGATAGACAGGATATGGAACATTCAACTGGTGATAATGATGAGGTTCGAGTTAAAAGCGATGTAGATGCCCAAGACTTTGAAGAATGCCTGTAATAATATCTCACACTTGATTCAGGTAATAGTTATAGGAAGTATTGATTCGATGAAAGTGTTGTAGGATATGGAAATATTTGTATATTTTGACATTCAATCCTGAACCAAGCATTGCCCTTACTATTATTTTTTTGATTTGGTATTATATGCAATATATTAAGCTGGTGTCTTTATGTGGCAGCTTTAGGTAGGAAGGATGACTAGAGGTGCAGTGGAGCATGGGTTTGTCCTAATTCAGATCACTATAGTATGATGAAGCCTTCTGGACATAGCATTGCTGCTTGTTCATTTTTATCTCGCACTCGATCATTGAGCAGTAAGAATATAATCCAGGTATGAAATGAATTGTGGATTAACCAGTTATATTGTCATGATATTTAAGTAGCGCAACTGTAGCTGAATACATATAAATTAAACTGGTACACATTTTTATAATTGCAAAATACACATAGTAGTCTTACATGATTTTGATTCCATAAACCATCCATACATAAACAAAAATAACAAAGCAATCTATATAGTTACCATTTGCCTAGGTTCAAAATATAAACATCCATATCTTCTGCGGTGGTACAAACTGAGAAGGAATGTTTACATAGAGCAAAAAACTAGAGATTTTTTTTAAAGGTTGATATCTTGCTTGCACTGGACATACATGAATAGTAATACCATAGTATAGCATCCATTCCCAGCTAGGTTCAACTATTCTTACCATAAGCGTTATCATATGTGATTTTGCACTCTGAATTTGAATGGGGTTGGCTTCTTGTTTTGCTTTACCTGTAGCACGATTCATCCAATCACAGTGTTCTTGACCACCCACATATTCGCACGCAGCACACTCCTTAACAGCTTTGTAACTTTTTTGAGCAAATCTCAATAGGATCAAAGCGATATGAATCACCTGGGGAAAAGATGATATTATTTTCACTGTGTCACCACTGATGGATTTCTCAGTATCACCATTGATGCGAGGTTGCTTTCCACTGCTATTATGCTTCACGTAACTGATTTCATTGGACCAAGGCAGAAGCACGTTCACACCTAAAACTGGAAGATCAGATGAAAAGTGCTCATCTTTCAAGATCACAGTTTTTACTACCTCATCATAACGAGGATAGTAAATATTGATCAAGGGATTAAGTGATTGAGGAGGGTAAATGGGCATGTTAGAGCCATGCGAAAAGTCGTTCCATTCACCCCAAGCAGTAGTTGTTTTTGCAGGGGATTCAAACAACTGATTGGCACCTGACTGTAGTGTACGGTTTGCCTCATACTCGACTTCGACGTGAAAGTTAGCCTCTAGGTAACGCCAAAAATCAGGATCTTCATGATTGGCAGTGAATACAGGGACAAGGTTTTCCTGGGTGGCAACCGGGGTTGCAGTGTTAGTGGTTGGGGCTTGCATCATGGGACCAATAACTTCATGATCAATCGCAGGAACAAGGGGTTCACTTGTGTTAGGAAACAACTGTCTGCAAGCGTTTAGGAATAAAGGGGCCATTGGTGATTAGGTGTGATTTTGAGAGTTTTTGAAACTGGTGTAAGTGGAAAAGCAGAATCATTTGATATTTATAATTGACATTAGAATGGAGGGCAGGGCATTTGTAAGTTCACACCCACTTAGTGTAAAAAAATTTAATTAGGGTGTCAACCATTAATAGTCTTAGGAGTCTCCTTACAAAAGCACCGAACTTTGACCACAAAATGCATATGCCAATCTCATCAACCATGAATTCCAAATCTGCCAAATCATCGATTGCCAAATTATTTAATGGGTTGCCAATTTTTTTATTTGGTAATAGCAACACCTGGCTATTTTGTGTGGCTAGGGGCTTACCTCCATAAGGGTATATCAATTAATTAATGGTTGAGCGGGATTACTAGGTGGGAGGACATCCAACTCGCCTTAACTATTAGCTAAAATTTGAAGATTGGATTTCAAAAAGGAATCGTGTATGGCTTTATAGATATCACTTTATTCACTTGTCTTGTTTAATTGCATCAAGCTTTCAACTCAAACAAGAAAATATCTTGAGCGCATAGAGGTTTCATTGAAGCCATTTCAGGAGGTATCTACTACTCTTCTCTACTTACCAAAAAAATTAATTGAGGTATTAAATAGAAATGCTTTTGTTTACAAATGTTAATTTAACACACTTGTCATGTGTTTACATGAAGGGTAATTACAAAGGTATTGTGGGTCAGCAACAATAACTCACTTGCATCAATGTCGATTGATGATGACATCAAAACTCAACCACCGACATTCAACTTGATGGAACATGACCACATAGATCATTTCATGGTTCCAAATAATGTCGAAGGCATTGTGGATGAACGTCAACGTATGACCCGTAGAGCACATGCTCCTAGGGGAATAAATAGGCCACGATGGGCACCCAATGGTACAAAGGAGCTGATGAAATTTAATGAGAAAGGGCAGCCAGTAGAGCCTCCTCATACTGTTGCTAGATTTTCTAGGTTCTTAGGAATGCTATCTCAAGAAGCATCATATTTTCCAATTAACATAGTTGATTGGAGGAATTTCTACAGGGCTTTAAACATGGATTGTGCTTGGCAGAGGATTAAGGTAAATCAACAGAAGAGGCACTAATGGTTGGTTGGTTTTCCTATATATATATATATATATAGCTAGTTATTTCATTATCTTTTAGTTTTAACCCTCCAATAAAAAAAACCCACAAAATGCTTTCACATGGGCCTTTATTTCCTTTGTCAACAAGCAATTTGAAACCATAAGTTTTTAATTATGATTAATTCATTGCAATCCTACTTTGACCTCAACTGCTATTATCCATACACAAGTTTAACTCTTCAATGGTTATGTAAATTATTTTGCAGTTGGTTGCTCAGAAATGAGCACGAGAATAAATTACGGTTCATTGTGATAAATTTGAAATAAGACACACCAATTACTTAGTAAGAGGCTCCATAAAAAGTTAGAATATGGTCCATAGCACATTATGCACCACTAAAATGCAGCATCCATGCAGATTGGTGATGTTCAAGATGGCTTCTTTTAACTTTGTCTCCTTTAATTTTATTTTGTTTTACTAGAAAAATATTTGAAACCTACTGGAGGAGTATTGCAAAGTAACTGTACAGATTCATATTTCATATATTAAATGATGGTGCATAATTAACAACATCATATATATGTACATGGGCAGGGGACTCTTGATTAGACCAATGCTATAACTCTAGAATTGGAGCAAAAAATTTGGTGGGTTTCTGAGATGAAGTTGAATGATAGATGGAAGAATTACAAGGCAAACCTCAAGAAGGCATCCTATACTCCATGTCTGCACTCACCATTAGCGAAGAGGTTCCATTGTCATGATGGCCGTGTCAACCAAGGCCAATAGAAATTGTTAGTGCATCTATGGGACACCATAGATGCTCAGGTACCACACACAATCAACAAATGTTCTTCATTTTTTATACACCATATATGCTTGATAAATGTATTGGAAATTAGGATGAATTTCCTTGAACATAGCCTTACTAATGCATGATAAACTTGACATATGCAAAAGTGTGCTACATCATCTATAAAGAATAGGAAGGCACTACAAACAAATCACACGACTGGAACCAAGACTTTTACGCAAATCAGACACGAACATGTAAGGCTCTTCTAGGTGTTTTGTGTCATGGTAACTTAAATACATGTTAGTGCAAATGGAATGAATGTGCCTGTTGATGTCAAGATATGAAATAATGTGGAAATTAGTTATTTGACATTTTATGTAACAGGAACAAGTTAATGGAAGCAAACCAGACTGCATTACATTCTTTACGCTAACACATACTCGGAAGAATGGGGAACCAATGGATGCTCAGTTAGCTAAAATAATTGTAGGTATGCCATCAATTACCAGCTGCTACAATTTATATATAGCAGAGATATAGACACTGCCTTGTGGATTTAGAATGATAGTGTTTTAGATTATTGCTATTTAATGTCAGTGAAACAAAGAGCATAAGCCAACGACATCTTGCATTAGTTTATTGGTATGCACTATAGCTTGAAGAACAGACCAATCACTCATAGTACTAGTATTATTGAGAAACATGGTTGGAATATCTTTGATTTAGAAGGCTTTCAAATGTATATAGAGTGCATATACATTAGTAATTAATTTTGTGAAGTACTTGCAGGATGATTTCAATACAAAGCTGAAACTGCATGAGGATAGGAATGAGATCATAACTGATGTACGCTAATGTATTGGGGCCTGAGAGAAACAACTGTGTCAGAGGGTTTGGGACAGGGGTTATGTGGTTTGATGTGCTAGGTATTATAACAGAGAAAATGGGAATTTGTAGAGAGGTTGAAGCAATTAGAGCATCATATGAGGAGCAAAGAAAAGTTGCTAATATTGAAATTGAAAGACTTAGGATGGAGGAAAGTGAGATAGAGCAAAGGCAAAGGATTGAGTCAACAAATGTGGTTGCATAATCGAGGAAAGACCATACTGATTCAATGGTGGCACACAACAGACGGGTGGACTTGGAATTGGATAACATGAAGCGTGAAATGAGGGTTGAAATTATGTCTACGCTGAAGATGACTGCTGATGGAGGCATGGTGGAACCAAATGGAGTTGATGTGACTTAAGTTTATGTCAATAGAATTGAACTAGGGATTGGTTTGGAGATCCAAGCAAATGGAGAAGTTGAAGATCAAGGTTTTGTTGTGGTGTAGAATATTGGCACAGATGATAAGATTGGGTATCGTCCATGCATGGTGAATGTCACTGGCATCAGTAAGTGAAAAGTTAACTATGATCCTTTTTGTGAATTTTACTTGATGTATATAGTACAAATGCCATAGGGAAGGCATAGAACTAATTGGGTGGATTTTGTTAGTTATCATTTTACTGTTGGTGGATGTGCATAGGTACATAGTTGTTATAAAATGTAACGTCATCACCCTTGGGTACTTGGTTGTGTTGGACAATATCGTTGAATGTAATATGCTTTCTTATGTAGCACAAACCTTTGTTATTGATAAATCTATTGGACATAAAGTGTGGTTAGTTGGAAATGTGAATCCTTTTGCAAATTTAAATTTCATGTGAATTTTATATTAAGAAGCTGAGTTTTAATATAGTATAGAGCTTTTCCCAGGATGCATGTAATACAATTCAAACCTACTAGCCATTTGGAATGCTGTATATTCACACCAACTTTGGTGCCTATATCTTGAAAGCCATTGATCCTAATATAGACACATAGGATTGGTGTGTGTATGAGTATGAATGGCACCAATGTTAGTCTCAAATCTAGCCACTAATAAGAGGGACAATGAGATATTTTGAATTTTAGAAATAATTATAAAATATAAAAATGTTGTACTATTCACATACACACCAATGCAATATTTGTGGTGTTTGTAACAATAGAGTCCTCTACATAGGACATGTTCTCTAATTTGGTGGGTGCTTGGTGGCAATTGAGGTTTGCCACCATTGTGAGTATCCACACTTGACAAAGGACACCAATGAAAAGGGTGGCTTTTAGCCAAATTTCTAGTAGTGTTTTCTTACAGGTTGCTAGTTCAACATACTATATAAGCGGACCCAATACAAATTGATTTGTGGTTGAACTACTATATCATAGCAACAAGTTTCCATACTCAAACTGATAAAACGATGGATATATTGTCAGTTTTAGTTACATTTATACGGCTGCTGAGAGTGGACATTCTTTAATATGACGGGCATTGACTCAGGAGCTTCCAAACGGCTTCGGTCCCCAGTTCTTTTGGCTTAATCACCAATCATGTGATCTAATCCATGAGAGATTTAACACAAGTCAGTGCTGAATGAGCTGGCCAAAGACCTGTAGCTCCCATAAAGGGGAATTTCTTAATACGTACAGATTCCACTGTCAATACATTAAATCAAGTAAGAGCATTCGTATGTATTCGAGTAATCAGATCAATTTCTGGGAAGGTAAGAGTCGTAGTTGTTGACACTGGCAAAAATTAAGTAGCTAGGCTGATCTCTTGCAGTAAAGAACCTACTTGAGACTATATCTTTGCTTTGATAATATCTGTATAGTTGAAACTTTTTGACCAGGCTAGTAAGTAATATAATCACATAAAGAATTGCAAATCTTGAGAACCTAGCATGGTTAATTAATACGTTTGGTGCATGTCTTTAGGGATTTGCCCGAATAGGTTTTTAATGTCAACCAAAAGAAAACTTCTATGAAACAATGTATAAAAATGTTTGCATTGATATTTTTGTGAGAATTTAAGCATAGACTAGTGCTATTTAATTTGGGGCATATTCAATGCACATATTGGTATTTTAATGGTACTTTCAGCAGGGATTAGTGCTATTCTGGGTGCATCCAATGCTTGTTATATTTAAAATTTTATCCGTACAATAGTCCATTCTTAACATGTTTTTAAATCTGCCATGTTTACTTGCATTACTTCGTCTGGCAATATTCCAGTAATTAGTCCCTTGTGTGTAAATTTATTGTCTGTTCATAACTTGATTGAAAGAAGATGGCAACTAAAATGAAAAGTAAATCGTGAAACTGTAAAAACGTTGTATTGTAATGAAATATTCTAATCCCAGTTTTCCTTGCAGGACAACTATGTACATTCAATTGACAATAACTATTCTTAAAAAATTGTCAGTGAGTTTACGTCCGCTAGGCTGGCCATTTTCCTCTCAGCTCAGAAGCAGTTTGACGTTGATGTTGTCTTCCATCACGATGATTCATTGGACGATCAATCAATTTAACCTCCTTCAAGTGAGCCAGAAAGCGATTAAAATTGCCAAGTGTTCCTACTGCCGTTGGTGTTAAAATCATTTTGACGTATATGTAGCCTCTACATATACCGCAAAGCTGAGGTGAGACCAAGGAAGGTGTCTTCACTGCAGGGGATTGTGATACCACCCATTGGATGATCGTATCCAAATTCATCTTCAGCTAGGCTTAACAAATCTTGGAATGAAGGTTGGTTCAAGTAGGACACAGGAATAATAAACCGCTTCTTCTGGCCCTCCCCAACGTAGATGGCAAGATAGCCTTTTGGAACATCCAATGACTTTGAAGAAACTTGATTTTTCTTGGCATGTAAAATACCAGGAAATCGGAAACCCATGGTTTTAAAATTTCTGTAAAAAGGAACAATAAAGAGTTGAAATGAATGTCAGGACAGAAAGTGCTTTGATAAGATATGCTTGGGAGTAGAAGACTTGTGTTGGTTTGCTCCTGAACCTTGGATGATGTGTGCATATATAGCTAAAGCGGTATGCTGCAAGCCGTCAGTTACCTAAAATGGTTGGTGATGAAGCACTGAGATGGACCCAAGTGAGAGAGAGTTTGCCCATGAAAAATCACATGGACTTGTCTAAAAGTTATCAACAACACTTCACAAGTCGATGACCAAACGAAAGCAACCCGGTGTCCAGCTCTATTATATGAAGGCCTATAAAAAATCAGAGACATGCTTGAGACAAGAATTTTTTTCCCATGATGCTAGTTCAACAATTTTAGCATAAAAAATGTGAAGACATAATCTTTTTGGTTTGGATATAGGTTAGGAAATTGATACGTTCGTGTACAAGTTGGAGTGAGTGGTCTGGAGGCAATTGAATGCGGACGGGCCAGAGATCCAGCTGCTCAAGCAATTATGTTCACATGGTTACGTCTTCCAATTTTTCAAGGACATCGGTTCCAGAAAAAATGTACAATTGGTGAAGGACCGTGGTGGAGCCATGTGTGAGTCATTTTCTCATGGAAAATCACATGGACTTGTCTTTCCAGATAATCAAGAAAAATGTAGCAGAAATGAAGAATCACAATACCCTACAGCTACATCTCTTAATAACTGCAAAAACTGAATACGTATTGAAACTAAAATAAAACATAATGTCCTACTCATGTTTGGAAGATACTCCGACAAGATCACTGGTAATCCTAACAATCAACATAATGCTATAAGAAAGTTTGAGTGAGTGGTCTGCACTCTGCAGGAAATTGAATGGGATTGAAAAAAAAAAAAAAATTTCTAAAGACAGAAGCATTTACAACTTCACATGCCTCTGTCTTCAAATTCACATCTCGCCAAAATACATTGGTGGTGATTGAGACTATATGTCTGTTGAACTAGCTACTGCATTCTGTCCAGCAATATTTCACCTAAAATATTGAAGTTGAGGTGGAAAACAGCATCATTTTATCAGTGTCCCTTCTATGCCCTATCAAGATGGTCTTAATTGTCACCACATATTTCTTTCAACAGAGCACATCCTACATAAAACTTTAACTATATTTATTTCATGAGACTTTCATTGCCATCCATTCAAGTCTCTGCATCTTCTCAACTCTTCTCTTCTTCTTGCTCCTATAAACTTACGCCAGACATTTCTCTAGAGAGACATAAAACCATGGGTTTCCGTTGTCCAAGTGCAACTCATGCAATAAAAGTTCTTCAGAGGTCTTTTTCAAATCCAAGTCAAGGTGGTTCATATAGTTTAGCAGATGTCCCAAAAGGTTATTTAGCGGTTTATGTTGGGGAGAACGAGAGACAGCGGTTTGTCATTCCTGTATCATACCTCAACCAACCTTCATTCCAAGACTTGCTAAGTGTGGCTGAACAAGAATTTGGATTTGATCATCCAATGGGTGGTCTAACAATTCCCTGCAGACAAGATACCTTCATTGATATTATTTCTCAGTTTTGAATACATTGTAAATACATGAGTTGCGTTACATTTTTGTAAAGCAAATTTTTTCTGCATACTGTACAAATATTTTTCCCTTTTGTGAGTGCAAAATGTACTCTATGCAGGATGATATAATTGAAGATTATAATTGTAGATAAGGTTGCTAGGCCCTGTTTTATAATCAATGAAATATGGAAAGTTCACATCGTAATCGAGCTTTGGTCCTTTTTAATTCCATGGCTTCCGCAACCGCATCTTCCTCCTCAATCACCATTCCCAATATCTCTACCTTGGGTAAAGTGGCATACTCAGATATTGATTGGGTAAGCTGCACATTTGACAGACGACCAACAAGTGGATATTGTGTGTTACTTGGATGAAATATCATAAGTTGGAGTGCCAAGAAACAATGCACAGTTGCTCGATCTTCCACAGAAGTTGAGTATCGATCCTTAGCTCACTCAGCTGTAGAGATCACTTGGATTTGAAAAACCTTCCATGATCATCAGTTTCCTCCGCCTAAAATTCCTACCTTGTGGTGTGACAATATCTCAGCTATCTCTTTAGCTTCCAATCTTTTATTTCATGCAAGAACAAAACACGTTGAGAGAGACTACTCTATATCAAATAATTAGTGCTTGCCAATTTGGTTAAAGTGCAGCTTGTTTGCAGTGAAGATCAATTGGTTGACATACACACCAAGTCTCTGTCTAAAAGCAGGTTTGCTCACTTGCAATTGAAGTTTCCACTTGGTATCATCTCTGATCCCAATTTTAGCTTGAGGGGGATTGGGGAGAATGCCAAGTCATCCATTTCAGTTACTGATAAATAGTTTGTTATAAGTAAATGTAGTTAGTTATTTTAATTGTTGTGATTAGTTAAGGTTGTTAAGGGTGTGAATGTAAATAGCCAAAGGCTATATGTACTGTCACAATGTAATGAGTTATTCAATACAAAAGAAAGCTTACGGAGAAAGATTTCAGTTTCTATATAGTTTGTTTACAATACGAGTATCTCTTATCTACTACCACCTAGGTCAACCTTGGTCCGTGAAGAAGTACATGATTTGGTGTAGGAAGTAATTGTGAAAACTTTTGTCAACCATGGTCCGTGAAGAAGTACATGATTTGGTAACATTTGGTATGGGAAGTAATTGTGAAAACTTTTGTCAACCTTGGTCCGTGAAGAAGTACATGATTTGGTAACAATGGCTGTAGGAAGTAATTGTGAAAACTTTTGTGAGGAGAAAAACTGTATCGTTGAATGATGTACATAAAAGTTGCAGTAATTTTTAGTAAATGATCACAACATTTTTGCAAGGGAAATACTATTTGCTGTGAAAATAACAGCTCAATTTTACAATACTTAGAATTGTGATGTACCATGTTTTTGTTGAAAATCTTACATCGGGATTTACAATGTATAATTGCGCGGTTTCATTCGTAATTATACCGAAGAGTTTAGGAGCTTACTGCTTTAGCTAGCCAACTTAGCTAAGCCTTACTATATGGAGGTTATAACTCAACAGAGATTGTATGGATACAAAGTACTGAATCAATAGCGGAGCATATAAAGTCGTAGGCTAACAAGTCTCTCCTTTTATGTTCAATCTATCATGATTGAGGTGCCACTCCCCGATCCTGATATACACCTAGAATTGACAAGTGATAGAAAGATGTAGGAACAAATACATAAGAGTTCAATAGAACCCAAACATAAGATATATAAGATAACCAGCAGAATAAAAAATAATAATACATTATAGTTCTCATTAGGAATATACAAGGCCTTTGAAGAAACTTGGAATTTCTTAGCATGAACAATGCCCGGCAACCAGAAACCCATAGTTTAAAAATTCTAAATGAGAAAATTAAGCAACAATGGAAATTTTAGTTGACTTCTAAAAATGAGAGAAGGCTTTGAGATTTTCTTCTGAGCTTGACCATAAAATATATAGATAAATGGGTATATGCCATAAACCATCTATTATCTGAAACGACTGATTGGTGATCATCGAGGCACCACGACGGTACCATGAGAGAGATTAGCTCATGGAAAATCATATGAACTTGTCTCCAAGTTATAACCATCGATGCCATCAGATCAGATTAAAATTTACATAATTGAATCCTTTTGGAAGAATAGGTACATAACTATAAAATCAGGGACATGCTGAACACAGGAATTTTCTCGCAGGTTGCTAGTTCAGCATACTATATATGTGGACCCAATACAAATTGATTTGTGGTTGAACTACTATATCATAGCAACAAGTTTCCATACCCAAACTGATAAAATGATGGATGTGTCGGGAAAAAATCTCTAGTAGTTGGCGTGAGGGGCCGTGTGGGTATTCTCCAGGCAATTGAGTGGCAATAGATATTAGCATTTCAAAGTTCACATGGCTCTGTCTTCCAATTCTTCAGAAACCTTGTTAGTGATTGAGACTCCACATATTTTCCCTAAATGCTTGATTAAGTTGAAGACAGAACCACGCATGTGGTCCCTAATGAGCTCTTGTTCCCTTCTATACCCCTTCCAGTTGTCTTTGTCTTTACCATATATTTTCTCTTTAGCCGAATATAATTATTCAAAAATACTTTTCATCTATATATGCCATATGAATGGGATCAAGACCACCAAATTAAATCTTCAAGCTCTCAAGCATATAGCTTTCTTGTTTTGCAGTTGCTAGTTCCTTGAGATCTTCAAGTTTTTATAAACTCGATTGCTAGTCTTTCCTCCAAAGATTTACTACAATGTGGTTCCGCCTGCCTGCTGTAATTCCTGCTAAGAAACTTTTTTGACGGTCTTTTTCAAATTCAAGTCAAGGAGCTTTGTATAATTTAGCGGATATCCCTAAAGGTTATTTTGCAGTTTACGTTGGTGAGAGTGAGAAGCACTGATTTGTGGTTCCCATTGTTGGGGTTTAAAAATGCTTCACTACTTTGGAGATGTTTATCTCACAAAGGAGAATGTAATGCAGCGGAATTTGATAGGCAAGAGAAAGAAAAAAAACACTCAAAGTGTTATACAAAATTTTTATTCTCACACAATCTTAATACAAGAGGAAACACTCAAACACTCTTACACTTCTTCACTCTTTTTCTCACTTCCTCTACATTCTTACATAGCAATACAATCTCTATTTATAGCCTTGATTAACCGACTCACCATGTCGGTGGAATTGGACTAAATTCCTCCTAGCCACAAGTTTTGTGGTTCTAGATATTTCTGCTTGCAAGCCTACTTAAATATTGCAAGAACTCTCCAGATTTTTTTAGTATGCATGCCTAATGCACCGACAACCTTTTGCTAGAATTTTCTAGCACATTTCATGAGTTTTCTATGGGCTGGATCATCTTCTTGGGCTGAAGACCAGATTACCATTCAACATCCCCCCTTAATCTTGTCTTGTGACGCCGATTGAGTTTCTTAGTCTGACAAAGTCTTCTTGTTTGAGGGGCTTGGTGAATATGTCTGCGATTTGGTCTTGAGACTTCACGTATTCCACTTGCACATCCTTTCTTGCAATGCACTCTCTTATGTAGTGATAACGGGTATCTATATGTTTGCTCCTGTTATGGAATACTGGATTCTTTGCTAGAGCTATTGCAGACTTGTTGTCGACATAGATCTTTGTTGGCTCTTCTTGTCGCATTCTTAATTCTTTCAGCAAGTTTCTCAGCCAGATTGCATGGCAGACACATGAAGTAGCAGCTACATATTCAGCTTCGCAGGTAGAGAGAGTGACAATCGGTTGCTTCTTCGACATCCATGTGAATGCAGTGTCTCCCATGAAGA